CAAATGTCCTTCTGCGGGACAAGCCACTTCCAAGAGGACGAATCAAGAAGCAGCACTGGTGACCCGTTGAACGGGCTCTAGGACACTACAAATATGACTGTCCATCTTGACCCTCGAAACGCTTCACCACACGCGACCCGACCCACAAGTAGCACGCCAGCCGGCCTCGTAAGATGCCACATGGACCATCACTACCGAAGACGGTCATGTACGACAAAACAAACTGGCTGCAAAGGCAAGGTGTTTGCTGAACAGATGTTGCCTGCCTCGCCTTTTGCGCCTAACAAAAACTCATATGTCATGTTGGCGCAGATATAGGTGAACCTTAATCTTAAGTGAGTTCAAAGGACACAACTGCATCTTTTACCCAAGCACCATCACCGTCGACACCTGTGTTTGCCCAGGCTTTGCTTTGCGCTCGTCGGACTTGACTCTGCAAGGTCATATGCAGCTATCACCGTTAAAAGAATTTGGGCCTATCAAACCAAAAAGCTGCGGGCTGATGGTCCCTCAATGCTGCGGTTGATCCTTAAAATAACATGTCAATCAGCAGGGTTCCCTATGTTTCTCTATGGTTCCCCGTCTATGAAACTCAGGGGCCTGCTTTTCACTTTTAGATCCACAACTAATTGGTCTTTCTCAACAGGGGGAGTGGCGAACGGCCTCAGCGTGGGCAATCGCCATTCAAAAACCTCATGCGGCGGGGCGACTTGATATTGAAGCAAAAACCTAGCAAAGCCACAAAGCGAACAGCGGTCAAGAATGAATAGAAAACAGTGAAGATCTCTTGTGGGATCTCTTGAGAGAAATTCTACTAGTGTTTCTGCAGAGTGTCCCGGGCAAGATCTTTGAAGAAGGATCATGCAATTTGGCAAGGTCTGTGCGCCGAAAGAATCTTAGACAAGCCCTCTCTACAGGATCTGCAGCGGGCATCCTCTACAAGATCTCTTGCAAGGATTTTATGCAGGTCCTGTCGACCTGCCGGGATCTTTGCACGATATCTGCATTCACGAAGGATTCTTCAGAGGACCTTCGACTCGTACAGAGCACCCTCCACAAGACCTCTTGAAAGGAAGCCTCTGCAGGTAGAGATCAGGACCAGTGCAAGATCTCTTGATTTTTGCAGGATTTCTGCTCAAGAATCCTTCTCTTGCACAAAATATCTATGGAAGGATCTTCAAAGGATCGTGGCAGGATCTCTGCCCCTCTGTGTACAGTTTCTGCGCAAGATCTGTATACAAAATCACTTAGAAGGAAAATATTTCTAGCTCCTGCGCAAGACCAAGGACCAGCGCAAGATATCTTTGGGAGGCTTCTTCTGAAAGGATCTCTTGGCAAGAGCAGCGCGCCGGGTCTTGGGACAGGATTCCTCGACAGGATCTCTTGGCAAGATTTGCGCGCAGGATCCAGGATCCTCATATGCTGAAGTTCTCCGTCCAGGATCTGTGGAGGGGTGCTCTCTCTGCAAGACCTCTTGCAAGAAAATCTTTCAAGTCCTGCAATTCAAGGTTTGTAATTTGCACCGCGCACCAGCCGGAGCCATCCAAGCTACCTAAAGTCCGCAGAAGGTTCACTTTCTATGTTTAATCTTGCTCCGCGCCACGACAAGAGCAATCCAACCCACCCGCTGTTCATTGTAATGTCAACATGAGCACTGTGCCACAGCAAGTGTGCCCAAAAACTGCAGAGGGTAGACCAATCCCGCATTTCCGGATATCGCAGGGCACCATAACGAGAGAGCGCACCCTCAAAGACACCAAATTCTCCCCCGCGCTTTGCGCTAGCCTGTGCAATCGAGCACATGAACATCTCACAGGGGGGGCGGGGGGTTGCGCGAGCCTGCACAAACGAAACAGCCGGCCCTGATTGTACCCGGTCTTTACTCCTACCGAAATAAACCCGTACTTCGTGTAGACACGCTGTTTGAGGAAGCAAGCCCATGTGAAGAATCACAAGAGCGAAGAGCTGCGCCTGTATGAAAAGGGTGGGGACTGTACCCCTAGCCTTCATTCATTCAGCTGGATTCATAGCACCCATGTCCATTTGGAAAAATAGAGCAAACTGAACTCTACGCACTTAAGGCTGAGGCCTTTCTGCAAATGGCGCTAGGCCTGAGCACAGGGTTTCCACACCTTTCAACTTCAATGATGTTGCACTGCTTCCAGGAATCACTCAAACCCACCTCCTCAACCTAAACACAGCACAGCGTTGAGTCCGCTGGTTGTTTTTCGAAACTTGAAGAGTCCTCGCAAGTCCACAGGCTACTGCCTTCTGCGAACCCCCCCAAAGTGATTCCTGGTTTCCCCTTGAGTTTCCCTTCAAACCAAACCGCAAAGCCAAGACAGTGCCCAATAGGTATCCCATTTCGCCCCAGAACCCCCCAGGGTGCGCTTCAAATTGCTAAACCATGGTCTAAACCACCAATAGCCGCTATTGATTAAAAGACCTCCTTTTTGTATCCCTGGGACAGGGCTCTGGTTGTTGAAACAAGTTGCAGAAACCACAATCTTGAATTCCGGTTCCCGCGCGCGCCCGCGCATTGAAGCCCCAGTTTTTGCTGCGCGGACAGACATGACAAAGCCATGCTTCCACATGTCCAGCAAACGGGTAGCGGTTCATGATCGTTTCTCGGACGATGTGAGAGGAATGACGCGCGGAGAGCCACACGTAGAAAAACGTCCACTCTTTGGGACACTTTGGAATCCAATGAGTTCGCGCCGATCTATTATATCGTACAAGTACTTTACAAGTGCTCGGTGTCCAGGTGATTCAGCTTGACCTACGGACAGGCCCTCGCAGGCAAATCCACCACGAAGGGATAACCAGTGAGCTGGTTCCACACTCCGGTCACCGCGCAGTGCACCCCCAGTACGCCCTCCAGCTTGCACACCTTAGGAACGAAACCCCATGTGAAACGTCTCAACAACTCCTACAAAACAGAACCCCCCCCCCCCCCTAACGCCCGCGCCCAAACATTCAGGCCTTTTCGTTGCCGTGCGTCGCTAGTTTGGCCATATCAAGAAGGGTTTAGCATGGCTGGCTGCTGTGATTCATGGGTTAAAACCGTGGCAACAAAAGGACTCGGATGACCCTAAAACTTTGGCCGCTCCGGCTTCAAAGTCACGATAGGAGAACAGCCAACTCCAAACCGGTGAATAACCCTTCAGTTCACCGCCTTGTCCGGCAGCTTCATGCCGTCGGGGTTGTGCGCATGCCCGCACAGGAAGAGAGCGGGGCGGACACGGCGCAGCAGCTCGTTGATGCAGCTGGGGAAGGTCCTGTCCTTCTTGCCTTACTTCACGTGTGTCTCTCTCAGAATTATGGACCCCTTCCGGAGGTTGGGGAAAGGAAGGGAGATGAAGGAAATGAAGGGAAATGAAGGGAAATACAGGGAAACTAGGGGAAATAAAGGAAAATGCAGGACCAAAGACCAAACCAATGAACGATTGTTTCCCGGGGTTGCACATTCAAAAATGGTTTCCTTTCGTTTTGTGAAAGCAGGACCAACTGTTGGTATTTTGGAGGAAATGGGTGGGTGTTTTCCTTGGCAGTGCCTTACTCCTAGCGTTTTAAAGGAATGCCTACAAGGTCGAGCGGTCCCCTAGAAAAACAAATTCTAATGTTGTCCGAACCTGTGGAAAAACTTGGGAAGCGGCAGCCCTGCGAACAGAAAATACAACGAAGGCAAGTGGCCGTAGAGGCACCCGTTCGGGGGCCCGTGCGTGATCAAAACATCCGTTTCCAGAGGCTGCAGGTGAGCGGTCTGTTCCCGGAACTCACCTTGGCTCTGACGCACCCAGAATTTGGCGATTCGGGTGAGAGTGCCCTATGCTCTTGGCGGTAAGCGGATGGAGAGTTGCAAACTGGTTGTTCTCCACGGGTAATTGGAGCGCTTGAAAAAGGTATACGGTATTCCCAAGCAGGAGCCCCAAGTACAAATGTACCACATGCCCGCAGTTTGGTTTGTGGTTTGGGAGGCCTGTTGCAGGCTTCAGGAACCTGCCAGATCCAAAAAGCCTGCCTTTGGAACAAGACACCCAAGACAAAACAAATGTCCACGCCCGTTTTGAGGGTTTTGTGCTGCCGCCTAAACTGGTGTCCAGAAAATGTAATGGGTGTCTCTTTGAGGGGTCCGATCCCCACCTTCTCCAGTTTTCACGTCCAACCCCGAGCTCTGATCGGCCAAAAGCCTTTAAGCCCAGGTATCCCCAACAGCCCGAACGAACCTTCCGAAACCAAAACCAGCTGCTCCAAACCTCCGGAGCGCCTTTTCTTGGCCCCAAAGCTGCAAAACTCAGGGGACCCCGTTTGAGATGCGTGCTTAAAGGAAGCCCAAAGAAATCGATCATTTAGCGGGGTCCCCTGTTCAGGCCATCCATCCCCTTTCCAATTTCCGGCCTCCGGTTCAAGCCCAAGGAAATGTTCCGAATGTTATCTCTGTCCATCCAAATGTCACAATGGCGCCTTCGCCGGTTGAACAAAAAACAAACCCAAGGAAAGCAGGCTGTTTCTGAAAAGGGGCTGAATCAGCCCGAGAAACGAGAGAAAACACTGTCCCTTCTCTCCGAAAAACCCGCCTAACTTTCCCAATTCTCCCTTACTTTCCCCTCTCTCCTTTCCCAATTCCTTCTTCCTTTTTCCCACCAAAATCCAACAGAGATCTCCCCTTTCCGAACCAGAACGGGCACCCATCGCCGCCATCGCCTTCCGGCCAAGAACCGTTCCGCATCCAACAAGTCCGGCCTTCGCCCGTCTCCATGTCCAGCTGGAAGGCCAAATTCCCCGAGGCGATGGCCCGGTCGCGGCCCAGCTTCGCGTGGGAGGAGACCGCGGAGCCCCAGATCCGCAGCCGGCGCCCGGAGGTGAAGTCCAGCGCCTGACACGAAGCACCAGTCAGGCCATCGCCCATGTACCCCATGGGCTCCTTTTCGCGCTGGGTGTTGAGTCATTCTTTGGCTGAGTTGTCGAACTCCAAAAAAACAACTTCCTCAAATTAGCGACTCCCAAAATCAACAGCACAACCAACACAAGCTGAAAAACCAGACCAACACAATAAAGCATTGGATTCCCCCCCCCCGCCAAAATATTGGATATAAAAAAAGGATTGCCCCCGCATGGTGTAACAAGTGTGGGCAATCAAAATACAAAATGTAGGCAATTGTGCTATTTTTGGGAAACCCAAAAATATGTGTCACTAAAATTAGGGAACCATAAAAGAAAGCCTGCCCAGCCTTTTGTGCTTCTCCCCAACGGTTTGTTGGCTTCTCACAAACAATACCACCTTCGAAGCATTCACGACAATAGGGAGACCACAAAACGACAGATGAATCAAAACACCAGCTCCCCCCCTCCCCTGCCTGCCTATCATCGTTGTTTTGTTCTCCACCCTCTGTTTTTCTTTTTCCGAGGCTCTATGGGCTTCAGGGCAGCGTACAGGTACTTGATCCCGAAGTGGCTGCACAGCTTCTCAGCGTTTGTCGTCCCCAGCTGCTCCAGTATGAAGTCGTGGTTCCCGGCCACCTAAGAAAAACTGTTCCGTTCAGAAAGTGCCCACAACCCGCCCCACAACCCCACCCACAGCCCCCCATGGTGTGTATGTCTGTATGTGTATGTGTATGTATGCCAATGCATCTGTGTTTGCGTGTTGGCTTCAAGTCGCCAGCACCAGGTGCTCGTAGGTCTGACGGCTGAGCCACTGGAGGCCCGAGAACATGTCGGGGCAAGACTTCTCAAGCCACGCCTCAGTCGCCCAAACTAAGGATGGTACCCCCAATTCCGAGATGTCGTCCAAGCAAAAAAGGAATGGATTGCAGAACATTGATTGGATTTCTCAAGGGTATGGGAGAACCACCTGTTGAAATAATGAGGAGCTTAAGGCCTTTAGAAGTTTGCACAGTCCAACCTCCAAAAGGTCTGGGAAGTCACTTGAAAAGAATCAACCCTAGTTGACCCCAAAAAATGATTGGACATCCCCAAAAGGTGGGAAACCCAACAGGAACAAACCTCAAAACAAAGTTGTGTCCTTTGCACCGGCAGAGGTTCTCTCGACGGTGAAGACAAAGCAAGGTTTTCCTTGGATATGTCTCAAAATACGGGAAGCACCAGAAATGTGCGGCTTTCACTTTGGCTCACCCAAACAAAGGAGTGCCCTCAAATGACCACAACCGTCAGTATTATCCCAATTAGTGCGTTGGATTCGAGCTAGGTCCCACGTAGTGTCCACACCAACATGTGTTCAAAACCCTAAACTACCCAGCCAAACCCCCCCGAGCTCCGTCAAACCAGCTCAACCCATCCATCCAAGCCATGTATCCACCAAGAGTTTCCACAGAACTTCAAAACAGCTCAAACTTCTTTCCCGGGCAACGACTTGAACGCTCAGCGCGAAACCAGCTGGGGCTCCAGGAATCCCTCGAAGTCCTTGTTCGCGAAGCTCTCCGGGTCATCGAAGCCCTGTCTTCTGCCTGGGCGCCGAAATCACCCCGTCTGCCTTGCCTCCTGCTGAGGTGCCGCCTCCAGGTTTGGAGCGCGCGGGGCTTCGCTTTTCCCCACCATAAATCCAAACCGCACATCTTGGGGGCCTGAAATACTCCCCCCCCCCCGTGTTAGTTTGCCCTTCCACGGTTGGCGTTCCATTCGGCCATTCACCCAGCTACTTGAAAGACCTTTCTTAACGAAGGGAAGGGCCTGGGACTGGTGGCCCTCAAAATTTCATCCAAGACTCAAGAAGCACGAGGGCGGAAAGCCCCGCCGAAACCAGAATTCTGGTTGGGATTTGGGATTGTCCCCCGTTGACCTTCATCTATCCAGGTGTTGCGCTCCCCCATAGGGACATAAAGGGCCATATAGGGACATTTCGCCATCTTGCAGGGTGATTCAGGGTACCTTGGACAAGAAGGTAAGCCCAAAAAAGCTGGTCGTACTCAAAAATGGGGGGTGGGAAAAGCAAGCCCTTTGCCCAAAAAGCCTGTTCTCCGTTTGCTAGGGGTTGGAAGCAAGTTTTCTCAAGGTTGTCCAGCCAAAGCGCCAGCTTTGCTTCGGAGTTTCCACGCACCTCCTCTTTAAGGCTAGTAGAGGCAACGCAACCAACAAGCACTCCTTTTGGAGGAATTTCTATCCCTTCCGGATCAGACACCTTCTTCGGGGGATCCCCAACAATTCCAAGCAAAAGTGGAGAGGAACAAATGGGCACGCTTGGCTTTTGAGGAAGCTATACAAGTTAGTTGAAATGGAAGGATTCCGGATTCCGGCATTCCAATGCACGACCAACCAATCAGAACCAGACAAACCAAGAAAAAATACGTAAAAAGGAGATGACACGCAAACAGGAAGATAGACTCACCAGCATGATACAAACAAACAAAAGCATGAGGAACATACAGAAATACTCACAAACACAAACCACAAGACGGCCAAACCTGCGACTTCTCCTCGAGCGGCACTTGTCCAGAAGGCTCCGCCCTTCTTTGGACCGGGATTCCTCGTAGCTCAAGTCCCCACAGTGCACCAAAACGTCTCCGGCAGGAAGATGCACGCCCTAGGCTTCGGCTCCAGGGATTGAAGTGGAACAGAAAAGACTGAGGGTCCATTGGCGTATCAATTTTGGCTGTTCAAAACGTTGTTCAAATAGCACCCCAGAATGGGTGTTCAAGCCAGGCAAAGCAGAAATAAAGGGTAAACAGGCAGTCTACCGTTGCTTTGGGGAGGCACTGAAAGTCCCCACAAAACCCAGGCTTTGGTGCGGACCGGCAAATTTCCCCCATGTCCTTTTGCAGACATGTTAATCCCGATGCGAAAATGAAGCAAGTTGGCAAAGTTCGGAAACTAAACGAGCCACCAGCTCCCCGTCTCTTCGTTCATCCTACTTTTCAGAAACCACTATGCTCTGGCCTTAGCAAGGCATGAACCTTGGACGCCTTAGCGTCCCTCGGAAGGATTACAGAACATGCAAGCACAACCGTTCCTATGACCGATTCTTTGCCTAAACGGGGGGTATTCAAGGGTTCCCACATTTATCATTCATTGGCCTGTTTGCAAGCCTAACTCCTCCAAAAGAAGGATACCCTAAATATTGCAAGTATATTGACCTTAAGGCACAACTCTGGAACCTTCGAGGTATTGCAACCAGCGGGAAGGAAAAAAAGCCTCCCACCCGAATGCCTGGTGCAGCAGGTGGGTGTCACTGATGGCCACCAAGCGCACAGCGCCCGCCTTCCATGCTGCACCCAAAGGCTGATTTGGGATGACATGGGTGCTGGAAGGCAATTTGTGCAATAACAGGAGTGGGAAGAACGTGTCCCAACTATTTGAAAGGACCGAGAAAAGAGGGCCAGAATTGGAATGTCCCAGGCGGTTCCTTTGAACTGGCCAGAAAAAAGAGAAGTTTGATTTCAGGGAATCCCACCCTGAACTGGCCAGGAATATGGGCAAAGTGCTGAAAAACACGCTAAAATGTACTGTTCTCTTCTCCCAAAGTTTCAGAAGCGGCGGAGCTTGACAGCCAGTTCTCAATATCCGCCCGGGGTTTCTTCATGCTTTAGGACCATTCTTCCGGTTGCTCTTCAATCGGTGGAGACATGTCCAAAGGGACATAATATATGTCACAGTTGTTTTTCAGTCTTGATTGGACTTCTCTGAGTTCCGAAATTCCAAGAAGGGCACAAACACAGCATAAGGGGAGAGATCTCCAGACCCGCCTCAGCAGGGGCCTCGGCTGTGGCTTTGGCCCTCACCACGGCGTGCTCCGGCTCAGGCAAAGGCAAGTAGACATAGGATCCATCATACGCTGCCTGCAACGGAACTCCATGTTGCAGGGATAATGCCGACAAAACGTTTTGCTTCCTTGTGACTCCATTCGCTTGGCGTCCTGTTGGCCTTTTGGCTCCCCATTGGGCTTCCGTCAATTTCCCTTTTGGCGTCTTTTTGCTTGCTTTTGGTTTCTGCTTCGTTTAGTTTCCTTTTCACTGTGGCGCGGTGCCAAATTTGAACATCGAAAGTGAACCTTTTGCGGGCTTTGCGTGAGTCGGATCGCTCTGGCCATGGCACGGCGCAAACTTGAGCACCGCAAGTGAGCCCTCTGGAGACTTTGGCTGGCAGATCGCTCCGGCTGTGAAGTGGTGCGAACTTTGAACATCGAAAGCTTTTGCAGGATATGGCAAACTGGGATATGAATTGCGATTTGGTCTTTGATGCCCAAGGTTTGAAGCTTTTATTCCATCGAGCTTGCGGCCCAGAATCTGCCCACGTTTCAATCTGCCAGCGCCCCTACGTTTCAATCTCGTACCGGCGGGCCCGACCCTGATGCTCAAAATGGTGCGGCGCTTACGTTCCCGCCGCCTCCGAGGCTTCTGACGTCCAAGTTCCAGTTCGGGCTGGCGCCTGAATCTGGCCCGACGCCATCCGACGCCTAAATTAGTTGCAACGCTAAACTCGCCGTGGTAGCGACATGCATGACGCCAGGATCTCATTTGTGAACCACAACTCGCAACCTTGAGGCACAGTGGGAAGAAGACGCGCAAAAGCCAGAGCCCCCCACCCTCTCACTGATCCTGCCAGCCCGCTTCCATTGAATCCCGTTCCTGATAGCCTGCGTGGCTCTCTCCTTTCAAGGCATCCATGAGTTCTTTCTACAGCTCATCAAGTGTTGCTGCTCACCCTTTTCGCTGCCTACAGCGCATCTGACTTTTCAAGAGACAACACGAAGGCCCTGCCACCCAGGTTGCAACATGAGCCGTTTGGATCTTGCCCGTATCCGAAAATTATGTCGCCTCCGATTGCTCGCTTCAATCAGTGTCAGACATGCGTTTTGGTTGCTCTCTGGTAGAATGACAAACCAACTGTATAATTGGGAAAAGTCCCTCGTGGACAGCTCCCTTCAACACTATGGGGGGCACATTGAACTGGTGCGAGCAATCACAACTAGTTCGCAGAAGGTGTTCGTTGACCTCCCTGATGCAAACATTGCTCTAATGATGATGAAGCATTTCCCTCACTGCGAAGTAGGGCGAACTGATGCGCTGGATGGAGAACATTGCTAAACGAGAATCAAAATGGTGGGACATGGCCCTCTCAAAGTTACAAGTGTCACATGTCAAGGGTGGCAAACAACTCTGGACTTGTTCTCTTCTCGAGACCGCTTGTCCTGCTACACTTCGGGCACTGGCGCTTCAACCTTGCCTTGTTCTTGACTATTTTTCCGTGTTCGCGCTCGTGTTTGCGCTAAAAACTACAGTTGCACTCAGGAATGCAATCCAGAGCCGTGCAATTCCTCTCAGGACCGTTCAGATGAGACAGGTCCATGCGCAGGCACCTTCTTCCGCGCAGAAGCAGGGCCGGGAGCCAGGAGGAGCAATCACCCGACTGGGGAATAGATCGCAAATGGTGTGAGATTTGTTGTGTAAGGGGGCCGCGAAGCGGTATGCGAAGCGGTGCCAATCCGCGAGACTCTGTGCGCGGTGCAAGACGCTGCGAATCCGTACGAGCGGAAGGCGCGCTTTCTTTCAACTTTGGCAGCTTTGCGAACTTCGTCTTCGAGCTTCGTCTTCGATCCCATTCTTCGGATTCGTCAGAAGCCAACATCAAGCAACAAATACTCCAAAGGAAACCAAAACCAAGCAAAATGCCAAAAGGAAAAAAGCAGCCAAAAGGAAACAAGAAGACAAGCAGAAGGAAACCAAAGAAACCGGAAAGGAGATCGGAACACACAAGGCAACCAAAAGGAGGTCAGAAAGAGATCAGAAAGGAATTAACAGGGAGCCAAAAAAACATGGAATTGAAAATGATCGAAGCCGAATAGAAGCAAAGCCGAAATTGCGGGCTTAACATAGGCTGCAAAGGCAGCAGTCGAAATCGAAATTCGTACATCCGGTCCGTGAAGCCAAAAATAAGCTCAGGTGATATCCCCGACAGCATGTGGAACCCTGGTGCAACCCTGGTGGAACCCTGGTGGAACCCTTCAGCTGTTGGGGAAAAAGAGAACAAATAACAACGAGAATCCTCGCGGAACGCCCCGGGACCATCCTTACCGCCGGTGTTGCTGAGGATGCCGCCTTGTAAAGCAAAGCTACGAGTGACAGCGCAATCTCGCCCTGATCGGGGCCCGACGGCGCAATCGGGGCCCGATCGGGGCCCGACGGTGCAATCGGGCCCGATCGGGGCCCGACAGTGCAATCGGGCCCCGATCGTCCCGTGGTGCAACCCCAGCCACCCATATTATAGCTCAACGCCGGTTTTCCTTAGCACGCGGATTGTAACTGTATCTATAGCAAAACTAGGCGATGCCAGCTTGGTACAATTGACGGGGCCCGACGGTGCAATCGGGGCCCGACGGTGCAATCGGGCCCCGATCGTCCCGTGGTGCAACCCCAGCCACCCATATTATAGCTCAACGCCGGTTTTCCTTAGCATGCGGATTGCAACTGTATCTATAGCAAAACTAGGCGATGCCAGCTTGGTACAATTGACGGGGCCCGACTGAGTCGGGCCCCGATCGGCGCGCGATGGCGCATCGGGCCCAAAGGCCCCAACAGTGCAATCGGGCCCCGACCTAGGCCCGGTGAACCTCGCAAACCGTTCTCACGCAACTTTCGTGGAGCTCAGCGTGAAACTTTGCTGGAACCTTTCCTCAGGGCTGCCCCATAGCTTTTGCAGAATTTGGTGTCTGACCTCATAGCCCTCGCAGCCTCGTGGAATTCTTGGAACCCAAAGCCCACCAAGCAGCAACGCCAAGCATTTACTCTGCTGCACCGTGAGTTCCGCAGCGACGTGATCTGATTTGCCACAAAGCCAACATTTGCCGGAGCAAGTGAGCAAGTCATAAAACAGTGAAAGTGTGCTAAAAACCATTGATTTCGGTGTTGCTTAGTGTTCCGCCCATGAGCAAAGCGATCTTGATCCGATGGCTTTTCAGACGACGGGCGCACGACACACCCTTGGTGGAGCATTGTGGAGCCTTGTGGAACCCGTGTGGAGAACCCTGTGAAACGTCAGGGCCCACAGCCCTCGCAACCTTACCTCAAACCACCCCGGACCACCCCGCAGCCCTCGCAGAACCTCGTGGGACCCTGCTAGAACTGTGCTGGCATGGAACCTTACCTTGCAAAACCTGGTGGAATTCTGGTGGAATTCTCATGGAACATTACCTCAAACCAGCCCGGACCGCTGGTGGAACCCTGGTGAAACCCTGGTGGAACCCTCGTGGAACCTTCCCCGGACCACGCCGCACCCTCGAAGAAATTGGTGGAACCCTGGTGGAACCCTCGTCCGGAGCACGACGGGCTCGTGGAACCCTGGTGGAAACCTGGTGGAACCCTCGTGGGACCACCCTGCAGCAGGAACACCACCCAGACCACCCCGCAGCCTGGAACCCTGGTGGAACCCTGGTGGAACCCTCGTGGAACCTTACCTCAAACCACCCCGGACCACCCTGCAGCCCTGGTGAACCCTCGTGGAACCTTACCTCAAACCACCCAGGCCACCCCGCAGCCTGGAACCCTGGTGGAAGCCTGGCGGAACCCTCGTGAAACCTTCCTCAAACCCGCAGCCCTCGAAGAAATTGGTGGAACCCTCGTGGAACCTTACCTCAAACCACCCCAGACCACCCCGCCCTTGCACAACCCTGGTGGAACCCTGGTGGAACCCTGGTGGAACCCTGGTGGAACCCTGGTGGAACCCTGGTGGAACCCCTGGTGGAACCCTGGTGGAACCTTAGCTCAGGGTCGCCCCGAACCACCCCGGAGCCTATCTGGGCTGAGACCCCAAAGCTTTCAGCTGTTGGGGAAAAAAAAGTCGAAAATTTGGGCCAAGGCACAACCAAAATTCGAAAAGCCGGAAAATGGGAGAAGACGAAATAGGATGCAAAGACAAACTTCGAACCCGAAATTCGTCGTTCAAGTCATTGTTCGAGGGTGTACATCCTAGGTCCAACACGAAAACCCATCGCAAACCGTGGCAAAAGGATGAGACTTGGGGCCCAACCTAAAGACCTCCAAAATATGCGTTGCCTTTTTGTTTAGCCCTCGGCTCCCTAGCCCTTTTTCCCCTGCCCCCCGCCTCCGCCTGGGACAGCTTTTGGTGATAGGTCTCCAAGCCCGCACGCCGCACGCGCGAGCTGGCATCGAAGGCCACGCCAATGTTGGAGTAGTCGTTCCTAGACACGTGAAGTGGTTGAGTTGTGGGTGTTGTTGTGGGTATATTGGTAGGATTTGAGGTGGAAAATTGGAGATATTATGTGATTCAGTGTGTTTTGTTCCCCTTGTGAGGTTGGTTTCAAGGAGAACCAGCCATCCAACTGGCTTTCCTTTGCGGGTGATCAAGGGCAGCTCTTGAGCCCGAAACCCACCCGAAAGAACCAGGCAGCTACAAAACTAAAGCCGCTTTGTCGTTCTTAGACCCACCCAGTCTGGGTGGATTGAAATGGAGGAATCCCCGATCCGTAACAACTTAGGGATTCTGAGGTTTTCTGCTTATCCTTAAATCATTCCAGGGGAAATTATCTGTTTATTTGATTCACAGATATGGGTGCTTCTCGAAATAAGGGAGCACCTAACATGGGTCGGTATCCTTTTGTTCCCTTTACCATCCTCAAACGGGTCTACATAGTTGTGGTTTCCCTTCACGGAAAAGAGGCAACCACAATTATCCACATGGTACGAACTGGAACCCGGGATCCGATGAAGAAAGTAGGGCCGTTTTCCAGAAGACGGCATGAAAGGGATCCCTTTCGTTTGGCCACCTGGCAAGTGGGTAGCCTAAGCAAAAAAGCCAGCGAAAATAGGCAATTCGTCAGGAAAGCCGGCCAAAACCACTGTGTGGCTAGTGTTTGCGAACCTCTGGAAAGGTCACCTGTAAAGGGACACCAAAAGGTTATCAGAAATGCGATTTGAACCGGCTGCTAACTGCCCCCTTTCCAATCAAAAAGATGCAGGGTACTGTTTGGATGCGGATTCGCACGGCGGATCCCCTAAAAAAAGACTGAGAAAGCATGAACTAGAGAACCTTAGGTAAACCGAAGGAAGTACTAACTTGGACTGCCTTCACTTCTGCAACAACTCATTTTGACTGGAGTGGCAACCAAGAGAAGAACACCAGCATGATTTATAGATGGCACAGTGTCCCTAATTTAGGCAAGTACCAATGACTAAACCCAAATTGGGAAATTGTGCCATCTACGCTCGCCTAGTTGCAACCGAGTCTTTGATTCTTGGAACCGCCTGCGGTTTTCCCAAGAGCCAAGTCCAGGATTTGGACGAGGGACACCTTTTGAAGATGATTCCAAAACCTCTGGTGAAACTCCATACTTGTTGGCACATGCAAGGTGGGACTTTTGGCTAATGTTCAAAAGGTTTTAAATGCAAAGTGCTCTCCCAAACCGTGAAACGCATAGATTTTTGAGGCATCAGCAAATGAGCAAGTGGTATCCCTTACAGCCACCAGGTGCCACGTTTTAGAAGGGAGACCAAAGGAGCCCCCACTTTTGACTACCCTCCCGATCTCAGGCCATGTTCTTGGCATCGTCAGGTCTGTCCAGGCCGGTCACGATGCTATACCACACCTCCGGGGCATAGAGCGCCATCTTCGCCAAGAGATCTAAGATGTCCTGAAGACCCCAACCTGCCAACCTGTTGCTGGGCCAAACATACCCGTCTGGTTTCTGTTTTTCTAGCACCCGTCTTTGGTCCCACTTGCAAAAACAGCGATGAATGGAAAGAAGGGGTGTTACCCTTAGCTCCTTGGGCCATCCGAGGAATCTCTCATCACAATGCAGACAGGCAACAATTCGCCCCCTAACGTGACCCTGGATCAATCAGCCAGTGATCGGGACCCTGTCGAAAATTGGAATATCGGCCAGGGATTATGGATGCGGGGCTGGGGGGTAATTTTGTTGCCAGGGAAACGCATAAGTGAACTCTCCAAAGTGGAATTTTAACGGTCTTGCAAGCAAGTTATAACCTAGTAAATCTAGCCACTTGCTAACTTGGCGACGAACACTCGCCCGTGCTTTCGGAGACTCTTCGCGACTCAGCCAAGGAACCTTCTGCTCCGTCTCGGCTCGAGCAACGCACGGGGCAGCCTGTGGGGAAGTCTCAGCCATGGACAAAAAGTGAGCAAGCTTCGCCTCGTTCTTCTCAGCATCCTTCGAGAACTGGGGGCTCATGGGAGACGGACCCCACATGGTGCCGAGTGTCCCTCCGGTTGTGTGCAAGGATGGGCGGTCGACGGGACGTTTGTTTTTCGCCTACTGATAAGCCTTGAAGAAACAACTGCATGTTCTCATCAAGAGGTCATTGTTTGCTTTGGAGGACTATCAAAAAGCTAGGAGACAGATCCCCCTTTGGCCAGCTGTTCAAAAGCATTCCAAGTTTTCGGTCTTTTAGGGGTTGATTGAACATGGATGAATTCCGTGGCAGTTTTATTCTCATCACTGGCCAGCGCCATCTAATTGTTCAAAAAGACACACGGGGCCCTGTGTTGTTTAGATGAACTTGGAGTCCATCCCAAACATGAAAGATTCCCTTCGTCGACTGTTACGGGCTGAAGGCCCCAAACCCCAATTGGCTCGTGTAGTAGGGTTCCGGCTTAATAATCTCCAAGCTAATATGGAGCCCCCAAGCCAACCCATTGTCGTGGACACTCCTTTCGGAGCCTTTGTTTTAGACTTATTCGGTGTCCCTCTTAAGTGGGACACCCCTCAAAGGTCCGCTCCAACGTGTTGCCCCCGACTCGATATCCAAGTCCTGGAACACTGCCTCCAGACCGTTGGCCGCCTCACCGCCGAAGCGATCCCGTAGGCAGTCCATTGGACGCTGCATGGCCGAAACCTATGTCATAAAGAGTCAAGAGGCGGCTTGTTTCAGAATCTGTCATGGGCCACATTCTCTGGCTGTCAATCCACAAGACTTTTCAAGCAAGCAAACACTGAGATCGAGCCGGACCAAGGAAACACCACGTCCGAATGGCAAAGGACATTACCCATCTTCAGCCATGGAAGCTGAGCGGAACGTGCGGGAAGGTTCCTTTTCCTTTGAGGGAACCCCGCGACCCCGCTTCCATGCTTCTTGGAAACTGGCAGTTTCGGACATCTTCACGAAAGCCCTGCATGCGCCAAAGTGCAAAGCTTAGCAACGTTGTGTGAAGCCTTCATGCACCCGTAAAGGTTTCTCAAAATAGAGTGAGTTTACCAGCAAAATGAACAGGTTTGGGGGTACATGCTACAATGACCGTGCTTACTTCGGACCAATGGAAGCCCAAGTGTCGGGCCAATGGAACAATAAGCAAACGCCAGAGCGTGCCACCTGAACGAACCTATATGTGTATCTATCTATCTATCTATCTTTGTAACTATCTTTCAATTTACCTACTACCTCCCTCTATCTGCGCCTAACCTTGCAAAAGTGCTGCTTGGCTGCCACGAACTCTGCACTTGACCTTGTGCAAGCGCTCAAATCTTTACTCGACCTTGCGAAAGCGCTGCGCCTGCCATGAAACCTGTACTTAACCTTGCGAAAGTGCTGCACCTGCCACGAAATCTGTGCTTGACCTTGCGAAAGCGCTGCGCCTGCCACAAAATCTGTACCTGATCTTGCGAAAGTGCTGCGCCTGCCACGCAATTCAATCCTTGCGAAACCTGCGCGTTGCCGCGCCAAAAGGCCCGTGCTCCAAACGCGCTCTGAACGCGCTCCGAACGTGGTCCGGCCAGGCGCCGCGCGCAGGCTAGCTTTCAGCTCTCCGAAAACGCAAACTCACGCACAGGGCTACGCTTTTTGCGCGTTTCTATTCTCCCACCACACGCACGCGCATATTTTTTCGCGCGCTTATTCCTTCTCTCGTCATCTGTCTCAGAGAGCTAGCTTTCAATTAGTTGCCGTAACAGGAAATTCCTTCTAAACTTCCTTTGTAGAGAATACCAGTAGAGCCGGCGAAGCCGGTCGGCAGAAGATTCAAGAATACACACGCTACTTTCTTGACTCTTTTTCTCCTCTTCTTCCTCTTCACTGTTTTTTATCTCCGTCATTCTTTCTTTCTTTCTTTCTGTCTTTCTTTCTTTCTTTTCTTTTCTTTTCTTTTCTTTTCTTTTCCTTTCTTTTCTTTCTTCTTTTTTTCTTTCTGTTCTTTCTTTTGCTTGTTGTTGCGCTGTTCTTTCTTTTGTTTCTTCTCTATCTATCTGTCTATCTACCTATCTATCTCTCTATTTCTATCTAGCGTCTCTCCATTTCTCTTTCTCTCCCTATCCCTCCATCTCTCTCTCTCTCTCTCTCTCTCTCTCTCTCTCTCTCTCCCTTTGTCTATCTATCTACCCATCTATCTTCCATCGTTCTTCTATCCATCTATCCCATTCTCTATCTATCTATCAATCTATCTACCTCTTTTCTATCTATTTATCTACCTACCTTTCTTTCTTTCTTGCTTGCTTGCTTGCTTGCTTGCCTGCCTGCCTGCCTGCCCTCCTTCCTTCCTTCCTTCCTTCCTTCCTTCCTTCCTTCCTTCCTTCCTTCCTTCCTTCCTTCCTTCCTTCCTTCCTTCCTTTTCTTTCTTTCTTTCTTTCTTTCTTTCTTTCTTTTCTTTTCTTTTCTTTCTTTTCTTTCTTTCTTTCTTTCTTTCTTTCTTTCTTTCTTTCTTTCTTTCTTTCTTTCCTTTCCTTCCTTCCTTCTTTCTTTCTTTCTTTCTTTCTTTCTTTCTTTCTTTCTTTCTTTCTTTCTTTCTTTCTTTCTTTCTTTTTTTCTCCTTCTTTGTTGGCGCAGTGTTTCTGACTCTGAAGGCGATCTTGATCGACTCAAAGTCGATGAATGAGGTACCACTGGTCAGCGGGATGCGGCAGACCCTCGAGGTGGCGGGGAAGGAGCTCAGCGAGCTGTCACGTAGTTGGTGTTGCTGGTTTTCAGCTTGTAGGCATCAACGCATCCTGTGCTCCGGCTGTGACTACCTCCATGCTTCTTTACATGTACCGCGACACGCATTTTCACTCGTACGGCGAAGGAGAGTCTAGGCGGCCTCGATGTCCCGGGCCAGTGTTTTTGCTTAGAGGGGGTTTCCCAAATGGATTCTATTCCGCCTGGTGGGCTCCTGACACTCGTCCGCCCAGGAAACGACCTCATCCTGTGAAGGATTCGAAATCTAAAACGCTGCGCGCAGGCGTGTGGCTGCAACATAACGACCCCGAGATACGCGCTGCAATTTGCCTCCAGGTTGCATTTCAAGCAAGCCAACCTTTGCAGGGCTAAGAAAAAAACCCAAAAAAAAAAAAGGTCCCAAAAAAAGGGGTCCCAAAAAAAAAGGGGAAAAGGGGTTTCCTTTGGCAAAGCTTGACCTTGCTTGAAATGCAACCTGGAGGCAAATTGCAGCGCGTATCTCGGGGTCGTTATGTTGCAGCCACACGCCTGCGCAGCGTTTTAGATTTCGAATCCTTTGCAGGACGAGGTCGTTTCCTGGCCGGACAAGTGTCAGGAGCCTGCCAGGTGGAATAGAATCCATTTGGGAAACCCCCTCTAAAGAGAGAGGTGGACTTGTCAATATTGATTGATTGTTGACTCAAGATGACTCAAAATTGACTCAATATTGACTCAACAATGAAGCCTCCACCCTGCCGCGCCACCTGCCCGGCGTCAAAGCCTCCACCCTGCCGCGCCACCTGCCCGGCGTCAAAGCCTCCACCCTGCCGCGCCACCTGCCCGGCATCAAAGCCTCCACCCTGCCGCGCAACCTGTTCGGCATCAAAGCCCCCTGCCGCGCCACCTGCCCGGCATCAAAGCCTCGACGCCAGCCTGCCGAGTCATACGAATCATGCGGATCATACGGTCATACGGTCATACGGCGGCGGCTTGGCACTTTGCGTGCACCACGCGCCGCGTCCCTGCCGGGTATCGAAGCCCCTGCCTGGCATCGAAGCCTCCAGCCTGCCGAGCCGCGCCAGCCAAGGTCGGAATTCCAACTTCGCTCCGAGGTCGGAACTCCGACTTCGCTCTCCCACCGATGTCGGAATTCCGACTTCGCTCTCCCACCGAGATCGGAAACCCGACTTCGCTCCAAGCTTTCGATTTTGCCCGAAAAACCCATCACCGGGCCAGCACCGAAGGTCCGTCAGTGTTGCCGTTCTCGCGGCATCACTGACGGAGGCGCCCTGCCGTCAATCCTGCGCTGGCAACAGGATTGCCCCCGTCAATCCTGCGCTGGCAACAGGATTGCCCCCGTCAATCCTGCGCTGGCAACAGGATTGCCCCGGCGCGCTACTACAGCTGCACGCCTGCCTTTAGTTTTATAGACGTCTCCCTGAAAACTCCGGCTGCGACGCTGTAAATCTCGCGTCTCTTCCGGACTCGCCGCCCGGCTTCCCGGCTTCGAATTTGGGAAGTAACGCAAAAGGACGAATGGGGAAGATCAAGCTTTTCTCCACGACCGGGTACACCAGCAAGCAAGCCTCGGACCCCGTGGTGCCCCTGGCGCCGTGCACCGGCATCTTCCTCGGGCATCGGGCAAGACCGTGGCGCTGATCAGCCTGATTCTGGAGCAGTGTCGAGGCCTTCGAAAGGATCTACGTCTTCAGCCCGAGTGTCAACATCGACGACGGCTGGATCCCCGTCAAGAAGTACATCGAGGAGGACCTGGGGGCGAACACGGAGCGCGAGCAGGCCTACTGGGACGAGTGGGACGAGCCGGCGCTGCGCCGCATCATCCAGCAGCGCAAGATCACGGAGGCGTCCAAGAAGTTGGAGATGACGAAACTGTACCAGGTCCTGATAATAATCGACGACTACGCCGATAGCCCGCAGCTCCACAAGTCCCACAGCGCCCTTGACACGCTCTTCATCCGAGGCGGCACATGCATCAGCGCCGCCGTGCGGGTGAACATGCAATTCCTCTGCTGCTGGAGGCTGCGCAACCAGCACGAGCTGGACGCCGTCATCGAGGAGCTGAGCGCCCTGCTGCCGAAGAAGCAGCTGTGCCGGCTGTACAAGCAGGCAACCCGAGAACCTTACAGCTTCCTCTTTGTAGCCGAAGAACGAAATGTTCTACAAGCGCTTCGAAGAGCGTTTCGCGCTTGAAAAAAACGCTGATGGAAGCGCCGGTCAGCTTTCTGGGCCAGAAGCTGTTCGCCAGCTCCACTTTTTCCCTTTTATCCTGCGCGGCGCTGTTTGGCCGCGGCACCAAGCCCTGGCCGTAGCAGGAACTTAGCACTCTGTACAGTTGACATTTACCGCCAGCTCCACGCTGATCACACAAAATTTGAAAACATCTTCTGCACGCTGCGCACAGAAGGCACCTTCCGAAGCGCAAGTCAAAGCCGCTCCCCGGCCGTAACGACATTGACAGAGGCACCACCGGCCAAGGCACCACCGGCCGAGGACCAGCCAAGGCCTCTCAGCTTACAAGAGAGCAGCGCGCCAGTCCGCCTACGACCGGTTGACGACAGGCGCAAGCGTGCTAGTGTAAAAGCAAGATGATGTCCATCGAGTTCCGCAACAAGCCGCAGATGCTCCGGTGGTTCCGCACACGCTTTCGGTCAGCCCTCTTCCAGCCCGCAAGCAGAAAGCGACTGTTCTGAAGGGTCCAGCCCGTCAATACCCTTTCCCGACTATTGCGGAAAAAGCGACACAAATTGCCGGCCATCGGCAGAGTTTCAAGAGTAAGCCATTGAAGACTTGGTGCATCTAAGCTATGTACAAGCACCCGCGAGTTTGCCGTTATCACGGCCTTTCAAGTCAAGTTTTTGCACAGTTAGCAAGCTTAATGTCCGGGTTTTGGTACACTCCCGGTCTGACAAAAAAAATCAGAATTGGAAAAATCACTCTTTTGCTGGTCTTTGATTAAGCCCTCAAAGATTTGGCGCAACCGTACGGACACCCTT